GCTGATTTCCCATTTCTACAGCGATTCTGCCCCTCCACGCAAAGGTGTGGAGCCATAAATGTAAGAGGTGGAGACACCCAAAACACAGCCTGCTCCAAGATGGAGTGTGAGAGCTTCCCAAAGACGAGAGCAGCAGGGGAGACGTCTGGCGTAAGGTCCGTGCTTTCACACAGCCACCACCCGGCTGTGACACCATCCCTGGGGCTGTCAGCTGCCTCCCTGGAGCACACACTGCTGGCTCTGCCACTCTGGGGACATCCGATAGTGCCCTGAGGCCCCACAGCCTCTGATCCTAAAGGTGGCTCTTGAAAACACACAGGAGGTCACCTGAGGCCAACTGCTGTCCTCCAGAAGCCTGTGCCAGCCCTGACAACGTGTTTTGCTCCTCAGTCTTCACCTTCTTCAGAAACAAACCTTGGTGCCCAGACCCATCCATTCACTTTAAGCCTCCATCTCCTCACATTGTGTGTTTATTATTCTGGTTAATCCCCTGCTTTACATTTTCTCCTGCAGAGGACTCACTCTCACAGTGTAGGAAAATTAGTTTTTTTATGCTGTCATCACTCTATTCACAAAAATAATCAACTTCAGGGTTGGCACTCAAGCAGCAGCAGCCCTTCAGAGATGAGTTGTCTCCAGAGTGTAATGTTTCCACAAACATAGGACAAAGTCTGGCACCCCAAATCAATATGAGGTTGGGATTGCCCACAACACAGATGTCCTTCCTGAGGCAGGATGGGCAAGGAATCCTCCCTCTTAAAAAAAACAACCCTGTGTATTCAAGATCTGCTCTTGTCAATGGCCAGAGATGTAGTGGAAAGGCCTGGGATGGATCCACTTCTTCCCATTTCCAGTTCAGTGAGGCTGAAGCAAAACAGGTTCTTATTTGGCTGCTTTTCAGTGCTTCATTCACAATGAAACAGAGCAGAGGAGAAGAGGGCCTCAGCTTCAGGACTTTACAGACCTCTCTGCTGTGGGGGTCAAAGAAGAATGTGCCAGCTTGGAGGCTGAGCACTCCTTTGGTCTTCGTGGACACAACTCCAAGACATGGATGTGACACTTGGGCTGATGTGGAGAACAAAAGAGCCTGATGGAGGCTGTGCTTGCCATGGAGATGGGCAGCGCCGGTGGCAGAGCTGCCTGGATATGTGTGTCACCTGGCACCCAGTTCAAGAGAAAGAATAAAAGAATAATACCAGAGAAAGCAGCGTACACTGGAAGAGCATGGGATTCCCAGGAGCGTTATGAGGGCTGACAGCTCCTTCTGTTTCCTTTTGCAGCGGAGCGGCTGCTGTAGGAGAACAGGAGCAGGGCACATGTGCCTAGTCCTGTGTGCTCTCAGCTTCAGCATCTCCACAGGCTGGTCACTGAATGCTCTAACTCTGGTTCTCCAACTTCTCCAACTCTCTGTCCTGTCCTCTTTGAAGTCCTCTTTTTTAATGGGCAAAGCTGTTGTCTCCTCACGGCAGCACATGGTTTGGGTGTGTGGTTGAGCCAGCCTGCAGTCCACATCTGAAGGACCACTGTGGCAGAGGGCAGCTGGGAGCAGTCATGTGAATTGCTCTTGGGGCAGCACTTGGCCTCCAGCCTGCAGATTTGGGCATGTTTGGTTCAGGCTTTGCTCAAGCTCTGAACAAACAGCATTAAAACTAAATTTGACTCCATTTTTCATTGGCTTAGAGAGATGCAAGGACCAACTGCCACATCCAAGATGATCTAAGTTAAGCTTCTCCTGAATATCTCACTTCCCAAATGGAAGGATAAAATAGTAATTAAAATAAAATGTTCCTAGAGTGATTTAGTGTTCTAGAGAACATTAAATTCTCTCCAAGAGTAGTCTTAACACCACAGTCGTATATAGAAAAAAGATGGCTCAGCATTATCCCGGGCCTCTCTGCGATGTGACTATCAGCATTTTCAGTACAGCTGGGAAAAAGTTGACTTCAGCTCTTCCTGGAAACCTGTGATGGTGTCCTCCAGCCTGCCCGTGCAGATGGTGATGAAGGGGTAGAAACACAGGGTCAGTGGCCAGAGGAGGGTATGCACTGCTCCCTCAGCAGCAGCCGCATCCTGTGGGCTGACACAGGGACTGAGGACTGGACAGGGACAGGACTTCAGCTGCTGACTTGAATTTGGCACCGGAGAGAGCCCCAGTGACCTGTGGTGTTGCTGTAGCCAAATCACTTTCCTTTGGTCTGTCCATTACCCAGCTGAAAGAGCTGTTGGAGAATTCAGTTCTTTCATGCTTTAAGCATTTAAATGGATTAATAAGTATTAGACATTTAAGAATCCTCTTTGGTCCAGCAGAGTCTTACAGTCAGGCTGAGACAAGAAGCACAGAGCATTATTTCTATGTGAGTTTATACAACAGTCTAAAATTGTGGTTAATGCATCTAAACAGCAAATGCTTTCACCCCGGCATGTTTCAGAATGAAAAAAGGCTAAGTATTAGTCAAAGAAAGAAAACTCCAGCTTTGCTGATAAGAAACTGGAGATGCACAAAACTTCTTCACTCTGGGTGTCCCTTGCTGAACCTCTTGCTTTGGACTGGCCATTAAAAACACCATCTGGCTTCACTGTCTGGATTTAAGGCAGCAAGTGGATCGTGTTGTGCAACACAACCGTCCCACAGAGATCTCACCATAAGTTACAAAGATTAAGAACAACCAAGCAGGTGTTAGTGGTCTATAGTCACAGAGCCATAATCTGCCTTCAGATCCATCAGTGGAGTTAATGCTCCATGAGATTTACTCTAAAGTGACCGAAGAGAGACTTTTCCCCACCCTGGTCTTGCAGCAACGCTCCCACTTACTGAGGGTCCGTTCACTGCCTGATGAAGCTTTTGGTTGACCTCAGTGGATCTCAGACTGGGTGGGAGGCTTGAGCTCTCTCAGCTTCGAGTCAGTTGGGGCTGCCGTGCTTCACATTTCTGCATCCCAGGCAGCTCTCCCCATAGTGTCCAGAGGGCTTCAGCACTCACTTGGTGTCTTCTAGAGGACGTTCCTTCTGAAGGCTGTAGGTGCAAGAACTATGGATGGACTCAGCGATTCACAAAATCAGCTATTTTGTTTATCCCTCAGCCAAACAAATAAAATATCTCTTTCTAGAGTCAACCTTTGGAGCATCCAAGGCAGCGAATTTAGTCTCAATTCTATGTAAAATAATCCAAATTGAGCTTATAATGGCTTCATAAATAAGACCCTTTTGATTTCTAACCCCACAGCTGCTATTACCAGAGTGTGGTGTGTGAATCTTCTGCCTATTAATCCCTGGAAGATGCATGGCTTTGCAGTGATTGGCAGAGTGTGACCCAAACCCTCATCATTTCCTCCTCATCCTCTGTCTTCACCTTCAGACTGCAAATGGCCGTGTTAAACAGCTGTGGACAATAAATATGAAAAGCCACCTGAGGCAAACTGTGAACCAAAAGACTCTGTGTTCTCAGATGATGAAGAGAACGATTCATTGGATTGTGCATCCATGAACAAAAGGCCCAAAAAGAAGGATCAACCCCTTGAGGTACTTCCTTATTGTCAAGGCTCCTCCCATGACATTCCTTGCATCTTCAACTGAATGAGCATCCCTCTTTGGTCTAAAAACACTGAGTCCAAACAATAAATCTCTGCTCTTTCAGGGGTGGGTCTTGCTATGGGTTCGCTCACTTTTCTGCATGCATGGATTTCCTGAAAGAAGTGTGAATTAGTGCCCCTGGAGATAATAGTTACACAGGGCTTCAGAGTTGGATCTGAATTGCAAAACTTGGACCAAAACCATGTGCTAATGTGGAAGTATTGGGGTGAAAGGAATTTGGATGTCAACTGCTAGTTGATTTTTCATGTCTGTAGAGGAAAATCAACTCTCACCCCCAAGGCAGGATAGCTACGGTGAGAACAGCACCCACAGACAGAGCCCCCACAGTTCAGGGCTCTCAGAGCTTGAGTTCACACCTCTCCAAACCCCACCAAAACCAGTGGCAGTTCTCCCTTCATGACTTCAGTAGGTTTTTGCATCAGGCACTGCATTAACAAGTGGGCTTTAAGTTGCTTCATGGAAACAAAAGAACTAAAGGAAACGCAGATCTCACACTGCGGTTTGCCAAAAGCAACTTTAGCAACTTTTTGTTGTGGAGGAAATAAAACCTCCATGGGAGATGGGGTATGTGGAGACTTGGGGTAAAGCTTCAGGCTTGGAAGATGGGATGAGGGTGTTGGATTAGTCCCATATCTGGAAAAAAAACCCCTTGGTTTATGGGCAAGCTGGAAGAGATGGACATTTAGATGGAGTCTAAATGAAACCTCACTGCACTGCAGTTCCTTATCTGTGTGAATATTTATAGCTTGCTGCATCATGGGAATGCAGGAACAGCACAGTCTTGTGTTGAAGAGGCCTGCAAACTAGAAATGATGGTGTCCTGATGAATGGTAAGGTCCTGTCATAGTCTGATAGGTAAATAGGTTGATGCTGTAAAGAAAATAAAGCTTTGGATATTTATGTAAATGGAGTAGAAAAGATTATCAGGCCTCCACACTGGGAATTTGTGCTTCTCCACAACATCTGGTAACCTGTTCTTTTTGAGACGCTCACAAGACACAATGCTGTGCCACAGCTCTTCTGAGAGAAGTACCCACTGCAGATTAAGTTTTGGTTGGTTGGTTGCTGGTCTGACTAATTTCTGTCTCAGTCTGGAGAGCGGGGTTAATCACAGTAAACCAATTTCATTATATTGGTCTGGCTCCTCCTGGGCATCCAGAGCTCCTGTTTAAAGCTCTCTGCATCCACTGACTGCAAGGCAGAATTGCAGTAGTTGGCTTCTAAAATAATTTCAGCGGATAGTGGCTGGCCCGTCTCCCAAGAGAAGGGCTGATCTTTTAGCCTTCTCCTTTACTTCATGGCTGAAACGAGATCATTACCACAGAGGTGCCACAAAGATGGATGAATTTTAAGGAAGGACAAAGATGTTTCCTATTATGCCACTGAAGTTTGCTCTTGCTTTTCTGCAGGCACCGCCTAGGACCCTTAGACCTCGCATCAGGAAGAAAAGTACCTCGTCCTCTGCCACTGAAACAATGTGAGTGCAATGAGCCAATAGCACCAAGATCCACAGAATGTCTCTCTTCTGCCTTAAAGAGCTACTGGGTAATAACGTAGGAAACAGCGGTGGGATGGATGTGCTTTGATGTACAGCAGCGTAGACATGGCCTTTCTCTCTCCTCTCTCTGTATCCCTCTGTCACACGCTTCACGTGTGTCCGTGACGTGGGTAGGAGGGTCTGGCAGACCCCTGCAGGTGAAGCGTCCTTGTTTCGTTTGCAGTGTGCGCCCACACACACAAATCCCGTAAGGCTGTACAAGTACAGTTCCCCTTCGTGTCTGCATAGCTCTAGCTCTGCGAATGCACAGCGGAAACAAAAATAGTCGGTTGCTCATGATGATACATCGACAGTGTGTTTACTTATGGCTTTATCATTAATGAAGTGGATTTGCAGAAGCCATGGATTTCTCTTTCCTCCCTTCCTCCTCAAGACTCTGAATGATGTAACAAATGTCAAAGTACTTTGTACAAAATGTCCAAGATTTATAGCGAAAGCTGAGCTGCAACTCCGTTTCTCTTTCTGCAAGTCAGTCGTGTGTTCTGAGAAAATCATTGTGCTAAGAACCATAGGGACAGAACCACTTACAGAGGACGAGGAAGAGACATGCGAGAGAAAATAAATGGTTTCAACCATGTAATGAAGGGGGAGTCTTAATTTTCATCAGCCTGAGCCAGGAGAGTATTGTGTGGAAAATGATGGTGGCTAGGAGAACTAGACCGGATCGCTTGTGGCAAATGTTCTGCTGCCAGTTTTAAACTGTGAGCAAGCCAGGCTTCTACTGACTGCAGCCACAGGAGTTAGAATCGCTTTAGTGATGCATTTCCAGGGGAAAACGCAGCTTTCTCCCCTGCCTGCCACGGCATCAGTCCCAGCGCTCTGCTTTCCTGGTGAGGTGCTGCTGTTGCACGAGCAGAGCAGAGCGCTGGGTCTGAGCTGCTTTTTGAAGCCTGGAGTTTCACCTGTAGCATGGAGTTTGGTTAGAACCACAAGAACCAGATGGAGTGGTGTATTTGTATCCATATATAAATGAGAAATACAAAAGAAGAGGAAGACGTGGTAGGGTTTGTGTATTTGTGCTTCAAGTTGGTGTCTCTTGTGAGTGTTGAGCATGTGAGATTCGCACATAAGTTAATTACGTGGCCCTTTGTGTTTGCTCTCAGACCTGTCACATAGACTAGAAAACCCTTTAGCATTACGTAGAGCGCGCCGTCACTCACGGATCAGTACACGGGCTCGACGATGAGCAGTGGTCAAGGTGTCAGTGTAGTCCAGGTGCAGCAGCCCAGGATGCCAAGAGCCGGCTGGAGTGCGTCAGGCTCAGAGATAACTCAAGTGGCCTTGGAAACCTTTTCCTTGCCGGACATGCATCGACATCCCAGCTGTCCCTGTCTGACGGATCCCTGAGGTTTCCCCCGGAGCTTCCCACATATCTGGGGAAGAGAGGAATAAGTTACGCGCACGCACAAATGTTCATCTGCCCTGGCTAGGAAGTGGGAAATGCAAGCAGGTACTTCCTGTGCCTGCCACAGTATTTTGGCCTCACTACCTGAGAACTTTATCTCCTTTACGTGTGCTAATGCAATCGTATTTTGCAATGGGTAAGAAGGAAAAAGTCTTCAGAAAGTAAATTGAGAAAAAAACCAACCCAACAAACCTGTCTAAATAACAGAAGAGTCAGTCCTTGGAAGATACTCAGCAAAAGCTTTGAGGAGCTAAGCTTGCGTGGTTTATTTTTAAGCAGCTTTAGAGTTTATTTGATTTCTTTTGGCAAACATTAAAAAGAAGTAGAAAAACTGCCTGCAGTGTTAGCAGAAAATAAAACCCTGTTGCAAGCAAGCTGTGTTTCCCTGCTATGCAATGGGCTGCCGTAAGATAAAAAAGAAGCTGACAAGTTTGCACTCAATTATGCCAAAAAAACCCAACAACATAGAGCTACACAACATCTGACAAATTCTACTCTCAGACATGCTGCGTTAACATTGATTCTCACTACAATTATTAAATGTGCGTCTAATCTGCTGTTTTACTGTAAACTCGACTGTTTAGCATTTCTTAAGTGCTGAGGTGAAATTGTTGACAAGGGAGTTGCCTTAGATCTCTCAAAACATTCACTGTATAAATGAGAAAAAAATAAACCTTTTCATATCTCTGGCAAAAACGTATCAATTCATCAACCGAGCTGTGTATTTGTGTATAGACAGATGAGAAATGTGACTGCCCGACCCCGTACACCGAGTGCTGTAGTGTTCTGTATGCAGCAGACAACGGTCATTTGCTTTTGGTCCCTCATCTTCCACGCAGAGGTCGTTTACAGGTGCTGCCATTTCACTCCTCGGCTACTTGAATTCCTCCAGAACAAACTCCACACACCGAGGCTTTCCTTGCAGCTTTTCTCTTGAGCCCCTGCCGAGGAACAAGCCCGATTCGTGAGTCGCCTTCCTGCGCTGCTGCTGACCCCTCCTGGCAAACCAGAGCTTGCAGGACCTAAGCGAGGAGAGGACGTGGACGGTGTGTGCCGATGGGGAGCAGTGCTCAGCTGAGAGTCACTGAATCGCTTGGGCTGGAAAAGACCCTTAAGATCATCGAGTCCAACCATTAACCTAACACTGCCAAGGCACCACTAAACCATGTCCTGGAGTGCCACATCCAAAAGTCTTTTAAATACCTCCAGGGATGGGGACTCCACCACTTCCCTGGGCAGCCTTTTCCAGTGCTTGATAACCCTTTTAGTGAAGAAATTTTTCCACATACCCAATCTAAACTTCCCCTGGTGCAACTTGAGGCCATTTCCTCTTACCCTATTCCTTGTTAATTGGGAGAAACGGCCAACACTCGCCTCACTACCCCCTCCTTTCAGGCAGTTGTAGAGAGCAATAGAGTTTCTCCTCAGCTTCCTCCAGACTGAGCAAGTCTCAGTTCTCTCAGCTGCTCCTTGCAGGTCCTGCGGTCCTCACAGCTCAGGCTCTAAGGGTACAAGCCAGCTGCTTGCAGCTGACTCCTCCTAAAAGCAAGCAATCTTTCAGCTGCTGTTTTAAAATAGCAACAGATCTGGGTTAAGAGAAGCCCGGTTACAGGGGCCATTCGAGCAGCTGCCCTCTACGGTCAGTCCCGTAGGGTGGGCAGGCACCTCCTGACTGCTCAGAGATGGGCTGGAGAGGAACCCTGAAAGAAACAGCCCTAGGAAACACAGCCTTTGACCAGACTGAGTTGCATTATTTTGAGAAAAGTAAAATTGAGGCTGCGGGGAAGGAAACTGCAGCAGAAGGTGGTCCATGGTAAATGGGCCTGTGAATTATCTCCCCCATTTACCATAAATTCACCGCAGTTATGAAGAGGATAAGCTTGAGCAGCTCAGTGCAGCCCCCATCCCTCTCTTGTCACAGGGGCCAGCACCAGCGCAGTTACAGCAGCCGCCAGTTGCCGAATCAGGATCACATCCAAAATAGACAAGACAGGCTTCACGCGTATCCCTGTCACCTTGGAATTAATCCCACGCCAATCTCAACTGTGGAAGTGCAAACTCAGCACACAAGGAAAGGCAAATGGGGTTATTTATTCCTAAGGAGCGGGAGAAAGCTGCTTGGAGAGACGCGCTGCTCCCCAGCCTCACGTGAACAACCCGCTGCCTCTGGCTGCTCTCTGGTGCTCGCACATAGCGATGAAACCCTCGTACCTGTG